AGTTCTAGAAACTAGAGGGCGTGAGAATAGTCACGTGATCTCGATGACGCAACAATATGTTCTTAGAGATTATAACGCTAATCTGGTGGTGGACAAAGCACGGGTAGCTCGTTGTGTAGCTTTAGGCTTAACAACAAACAAAAAAACTTATTTATACATCATTAAAGTACTTTCCAACAAAGTTTTCGTTGTTTTTAGTTTTTATTAAAGTTACATAGTATAGCTCTTTTTTTTTTTGTAAAAACGCTTTTTTCGTTTTCAAATAAACCTACTGTTTAGCACCCACACTTGTTGTATGCCTAAAAAAGCAGCAGGTTATCACTTAGGCTTAAGTAAGCATTTTAGTATAAAATATTGGCTATTGTAACTTGATAGTAGTAATATAACTCGTACAAGAAACTTGTTATGGCCTTTTTGTATGAAAGTTTCGTTAAACGAACACTGGGGCGTAAATTGAGATGTACTATTTTTATTTAATAAATTAACTAAATAATTTGTGAAGTTAATTTTACATTACTGAATTTTTACATTTACGATTAGAATTGACTAACCGTTTGTTTTCGCGCTATGTCCATTACACGAATCGAACCCAGGTTCTTAACGTTGTAAGTGTTAACTTACTGCTGACCCACTGGGGGACTTTACTATCCGAATTGTATAAAAATGTTTTGGCTTTAGTGTGTCACCTGTATCAAACATAAAAAATCATCATTTGTAAATCATTGATAAAAATTAAGATTAGAAATACTTCTACTTTCATTTAAAGTCATATTATAGTTAGTCTGTAAAAAAAAGAATAATGTGTAACAACTATCAAGATAGCTGAAGACGTCTTTGACTTTCAAGGGAGCGTGATAGTGAGTACCCGTTTAGTATAATATTGCTATTGAATACAGTTTCTTCACGTCATAGTCTTTCAAGATTGGGCGATATAAAGTGAATACGACTATCAATAAGAAAGACTGTGGCCGCCAACCGTTGCTGATTCATATAGAGAAACAACTACTGAATATGTTTTTCAATTATAACAACATCTGACTGTGTCTCAGTTGACTAATTTCTTGAACAGGTGACATTTGACAACAACTCTTAAAATCGACTATCTCAGAAATAAACAGGAAAGCAGTACTCCCGTGGTTCCTAGAGTGTGTGCAATAGACAGTGAATGATTGAAAGTGTTTTATATGTTATGATGAGTCAGTTTTTTTATATTTTTTGTACTGAAAAGAGAACAAAAATAAAGAGAAAAACACATTCAACCACTTAATCTTCCTTGTGTTGTTCTGATAATGCAAACTCCTTGAAGTGGTATAATTGTGAAGGGGATGTTCTTGTTTAAGATATTTGGCTCTCTGATTCATTTAGAAAGAGCAAGTAACATCCAGAATGTATCAAAACGTTGTTATTAATTATGTGAACCTACAGTTCTACGTTTCCAGCCTGATGAAAAAGAATCTTCCAAGCAATAAAACAACAACCTGGCAGAATTGTATTGTAGAAGTTTGTTTGGAAGAGCATGACCATGATGACCTTGATCAGTACAATTACCGTATCTCAATTCAATTAAATATCTTGTAGAAAAGTTAAACATGGAATTCTCCAGTGTCTATATCCTGCTGACACTTGGACACCATGTGGATACCATATTCTTCAACAAATGGGCTCCAATTAAAAAGACATCTTCCACCATTTTGCAATCTTTTTCGAGCCGATTTTAGGCAGTTATTGCATAGAAGGATAGTCCAATACATAAGGTTTCCACTCTGGCCGAGCGTGTCCCAGTGATTTGTGTGCTGAGCTATGTGTCTGAGGGTCCAGCTTTTGTGTCCCGTTACTGTTTCCCTTAAACAAAAAAAAAAACACTCCGCACTTTTGAACCATGGAGTTTTATGAGGTTGATGACCAAAATCCCACTATCCAGTCAGACGAGGATAGCCCGAGAATTGGCAGTAGGTCCTGGTGACTATCTGCCTTCTCTCTAGTCTATAAGTTCAAAAATAGGGACAGCTAATGCAGATATCCCTTGAGTAGCTTTGCGTGAATATCCGAAAAAAAAGTGTTTTTTTAATATGTATCTTTTGGATATTTGTTATATAGTAATAATACTGTTGTTGATTTTTTTAGCGCAAAACCACACAATAGGCTATTTGCACTTACACCACGGGGAATCGAACCTCGGATTTTAACACTGTAAATCTCTAAACTCTCTATAATAATAAATACAGATATAACTACATACGGTTTTTTTATCCCACATGTTTTGGATTTTGGTGGATATTGATAGACATACCTTAATTTCATTGAATAAAGGTGAAACACAACCAGTTACAAAAATATTTGTATGCGAAAACATGTTCATATAAGGTTATTTTCCAGGGGGGATAAAGTAAGGGGGAGAGCATACCTCGACCCAAAACCCATGAATTTTAACTCTAGTCATAATTACATTAACCAAAATCTATATTGATTCCTAGATTCCAAGGGTAATCCTCGGAATATAACAAACAGCAAAGGGAAGAAACGTAAACCCGGATCCAAAGCTTTGCCCTCGGTACTGGGATGTTATGATGAACTGTTTGTGGATTTCCTTTCAAGATGCCTGAAGTAAGTAACATAATGCATAGTGTCTCAGTTATTTGATTTTTTCCAGAAAGTGCTGCTACACAAAATTACATAACAGTTGAAGAAATGTGTCGTATTTCAACTGTCAGGTAACACAATAGAACAATTGTCTAACCAGTCATACAGTATACCTTTTGTTACCATCTGCCATGATTATTTATATTTTGATTTTCTGACTTTAATACCAAAGAATACAAAAAAGTTATAGAGTTGAATGTGAAAAGGACACAAACTGAATTAACTTTCTTAAAGACACCATTTATAGGTTATGGATGTAATGATATTTGTGACAATAATTGTCCGATTTTTAATACCATTGTTCTTTTAACAGAGTATCACAAGTAGTAACCTGATTAATTTAATCTCCAATGTTACCAGCGTGTGTAGTTTAGCTAGAGTAAAAGTTAATACATTTATGAATGTTATGACATATATTTTCTTCTTTCAAATTCGTTTTTTTTTAACACCACATTTAGACACTTCATTATTAATAAAATAACACAGAACAGCGTGTAGCAATCAAATTGGAACAAACTATGAGAAGACTTGAAATCAGAGAAATCAATTTCAACACATTCATGGGTTCTCTTCAGCCTCAAGCTGTCTTCTTCCAGGAAAACTGACCATCAATGCCAACATCGTGAGCCTAAAAGGACTCATAAATTTGTTGACATTAGTTTCTATAGCCTTAAGTCTTCTTATAGTTGTTTTCCATTTAATGCATGTTTTCATTAACACTTCATTAACGACTCAATGTTTGTTTATTGGAATATATTTTACTTAAATATTCTAAATTAAAGTTTTTCTTCGTTGATATTTATTTTTTTGTAAGTGTAGTACTTTCAGTTGTTGTAATGTGACTTACTAGCAAGCACTAGTCAGTTAAACCTATAACCCAGCTGGTAGAACACTGGTCCGGTGTGCGAGAGGGCTCGCATTCGTCTCCAACCCAAGGAAAAAGAAAAGAGCACTAGAGAATAACTAGTGCCTATGCATTGGTTGTTACACAAGATTTTGAAATAAGACTCGAGACCTTGTTTGTGAATGGGGTAGAGATGTGGTAGTATGAGTTCATAGTGCCTTACTAGTGGGTTAGATCATATGTATATTTACAAGAGTTTGTTTATAATTAAGCACAAAGCTACAGAATGGGATATTTGTGCTCTGCTCACGACGGGTATCAAAACCAGGTTTTTATCTTTGTAAGTCCGCAGAAATGTTGCTGCGCCACTGGGGGGCATTTACAAGAATCACTCAATATAATCATAATATAAAATTCGCAATGTTTTTGTGGCTTATGTGATTCAACGCATCTTACCCATGTTTCTTGGGTAGTTGCATTGTTTCCTTCTTGATCCTGACCTTATGTTTCGGGAATACCTTGCAGCTGTCACATGGAACAGAGATACTTTCAAATTTCGTTGTCCTGTTTTCTGATTACCTAGATGAAGAGAGAATATATAGGAATCTCAGTTCAGATTGTTCCAACTTTCGGGGTAGACTGTCTCTAAACTGATAGTCAGAAACCGCTTGTGAAAGTCCGATCATTGTCTTACTCTTAGTATCTCTGCGCCTGATTTTAATTTCTAGTTCATTCAGTTTTCAATCAATATCATCTCCTCAACCTGGAAGATATTGTAATATAAATTGTACGTGAAGCGTGAAACAAACAATACTTCATTCTGTTCGTTTGTTTCTTCTCTTATGCACTTGTTCTGACATTAAAAATGATTAACATTCCATCCAATCATGTCTTTGAACCTCTTGTTACGCGGATGGGAGGGGTGGGGGTAGTAATAGTTTACCTGTGTGTCATTATCTTATTATAACGGAGCTTGCGATGTATACATCCAAAACTCGGATCTCGGAAACGACCGCGCCAATCATAACTGGGTAATATTTTTATAGCTGAGCAATAAATAAAACAGTTGAAATTTCCACAAAACTTATATGTTTCACATTTAACCAATAATAATTACAAACAGGTAGTAAGCTTCAAATATAAAACAATAAAAAAAACTTTAACAAATATATTTGTTTTTCTTTAATAAAAATCCCACGAGTGTTGCAGTAGAAAAGCAAGGTAATTGATAACTGCGTCTACAAAGAAATGCTTCAGTAAAATCTACCCTGTGATGTAATACTGTGATGATAGCTAATTTTTAAACTAAAATTTAAATAAAATCCTTTTTCTCATGGATTGTGAACATTATTGAATGTCAAGTATGAATGGCCTGGCATGGCCAGGTGGTTACGGCACTCAACTCGCAATCTGAGGGTCGCGGGTTCGAATCCTCGTCACACCAAACATGCTCGCTCTTTCAGCCGTGGGGGCGTTATAATGTCACGATCAATCCCAAAATTCGTGGGTAAAAGAGTAGCCCAAGAGTTTGCGGTGGGTGGTGATGACTAGTTGCCTTCCCTCTAGTCTTACACTGCTAAATTAGGGACGGCTAGCGCAGATAGCCCTCGTTTAGCTTTGCGCGAAATTCAAAAACAAACAAACAAGTATGAATACATTGTTGTAGAACTGTCATACAATTCCAGAAAAGGCCTCAGGCCTAATAGCCTTCCGCAGGAACTAGCAGTTATACCTGTCCGGAAGGTGAGTATTTCTACTAATTCTTTTAAACCAGCGTTTCTCAACCTTTACGATACAAACGGTCCACCACGCTGTTTCCCTAAATTGTTGCAGACCGCCAAAATTCAAGCACAACGAAAAACCGCGAAAAATAACATATGAATATTTTGTGTATTTTTATTATTTCTATGAATTATTTATTTGTAATTAAGCACAAAGCAACACAATGAGCTATCTGTGTTCTGCCCACCACGGGTATAAAACCCCGGTTTCTAGCGCTGTAAGTCCGCAAACTCAGTGCCACTAGGAGGGGGGCATTATTTCTGTGAAATCTCACGCATCAGCACTGGTCCGCAGACTGATGTTCGAGAAACATTGCTCTAAACCAGGAATGCCAGAACGTGCTACTTTAAAGTAAATGCATTGTGCAAGTTAAGTGAGGATGAAGCACAAAAATTAAAATTTAATTTCTTGTACTTTGTATGAATTTTATAAGTGACACCAAACCTAAAAGTCTTTTTCTTTCTTTTTTTTACATAGGTGAAAACACTGAAAAATGTTTTTCAACAAATGAAACGAAAATTTAAATATACATATAAATTAATGAAAAGGGTTTGTTTGTTTATTTTAGAGCAAAGCCAAATTGGACTATCTGCTGTGTCCATCACGGGGAATCGAATCCCGGATTTTAACGTTGTAAGTCCGTAGAATTACCTCTGTCCCAACGTGAGGACAGTGACAAAAGAAAATGGAGCTCTGGAACTTTTGAAATGATTTTAACAAAGTTCAACTGAGGGTTGTTTGTTTGTTAGGCAAGAAAGTATACAATGGGCTATCTGTGCTATGTCCACCCCAAGTATCGAAACCCGAATTTTAGGGTGATAAGCCCTCAGACTTACCAGGAGGGGAGCACTCAAGTGAGAATAAACAACTTATTTGTTGTTATTTTCTTAGCACAAAGCTGTACATTGGGATATTTGAACTTTATGACTAATTTAAATGTATATGTTAGGAATCCCCCTGTTTGTTGTTGTTGTTGTTTTTTTAGGCAGTTGTCGTTCTAGGTTAATCCTCCATATGTTCCGTTTGCATCCTAAAATCTCCGTATTTATTTCATTAATCTTATCCGGGTTTGTTTGTTTTTTTAACGTTCCAGTTTGATACCTGGTTCACTTAAATATTATCCTGGTGAAATAAACTTTTCGGAAATTTTAATTTAATTAAAACTTGTGTGTTTATGACTCCCCAGTTATTACTATATATGTATTAAAAACTTCTTTTATAGTTGGAACCCGGAAGTAAGAATTAACCCAGACGAAGCTCTAAGGCACAAATGGTTAGTTGGACATAAAGATGGTCGCTGTGACAGAAGCGTAACAAAGAGCTTACATCCTCAAACTCCTACAAGAGAGAGCGATACAGGTATAATTAGTGTGGCTTATATTCTTTGTATAGTCGTATTTTATAACTTACCATATTTATTACTCACTTAGCTAATCATCCTATAGGTTTTTTACAGTCACGTGACTAATATTCCACTCTGCAAGTTTAAATTCCAAATACTAAGGTCAGAGATTCTACTATATTAATCCTACAATGTTATATTGCTATGAAATAGATAAATAACCAAAATTTCAAATGATCATTTTAAAAAGAAAGCGTAACGGCTTTAGAGGCTAATTTTGTATTTATTTGCTTTAGAAATCATAGACGATTTTATTTAAGATATACGATTCATATTTTAGCATTTTGGTTTGTTTGTTTGGAATTAAGCACAAAGCTACACAATGAGTTATCTGTGCTCTGCCCACCACGGGTATCGAACCCCGGTTTCTAGCGTTGTAAGTCCACAGACATACCGCTGTGACACTGGGGGGAGTTAGTATTTTGGATGTTCTCTTTTATTTGATGAACCTTCTACTTTTGATGAATATCATGTTCTTTGTACTTTAATTCATTGTTTATAATTTTATATTGGTAATTGAAATATATTTTTTATATCCATAAATACTCGTGCTACACTAATATTATTTCCCGTGATATGCATATATGCTTTTTTAAACATCTTCGTTTTTTTTTGTTTGTTTTTTCACTATGAAGCGGCTCTTCTATATGCAATATAATACTTTAAAATTTACTGTTGGAACGCCGAAAGCCGATGAAATTTTGGAAAAATTATTGGCCTAAAAACGAGTTAATTTCTATTGTTGTGTTGTTGTTTTTTTTCACATTTCCCTTAATTAGTTCATTGCAGATCGAAATCAGAATCATGTAAAAAAATAACGTTTTAACCGTAACATTTCCTTTTGCCTCTCATCGTCCAGCCTAACTGATGAGTTCTGCTTTGAAAGCAAGGCATATTAGGGAGATTTTATCTCTATGGCAATAACTTGTCGGAGACAAAAAAAATAAGAAGATAGAATTGAAATGCTATTTTTACACAACTCTGATTTCGACCAGCAATGGACAAACAAAGAGTAATGTGCATTATAAAAAAAACCTGTTAACTTGATTTTTATAACAGTTTTCAGGCATACTGGTTTTTCCCAGTATTTCGCTGGCTTTCGGCGTTTACTTTAAACCGTAATGTTACTGCTTTTCTTTCTTTTTGCTTGAATCGAACCAAACCACTGAATGAACGTTTTATAGTCGAAATGATGTATTTAAGTGTTTTGCACTCACAAAAAATAAACCTATCATTCTATAAGTATTTGAAGAACTTGTAGCATTCCGCCACAGTTTAATTCTTCGTATTGTTAGCTCACACTGGGCAGCTGGTACATAATTGAATAGAGTTGTTTAAACAAGTGAAAGCTTGGAATGGTCTATTCTTTCATTGGGGGTGTGTCTGTGAGCCATACAATTTCGGAGAATTCCACTCCTCATCAGTGACCCTGGACACTCCAGTTTGGTCTGATATTTCATTGGTGGTAGTGTCCAGGGTCACTGATGAGTAGTGGAATCTTACGAAACTAGTCTGGTTTACATACACACACCCCAATGAAAGAATAGACCATTCCAAGCTTTTACTTGTCGTTAAACAAATGTCAACTAACGTTTTATAATGTTTTTCATTATTTTACAAATAAAATACTTTAAACTGCCTTTTAAGTTTTCGATATAACTTCATGAATTTATTTTTAATCAGACAACCATAAACCATCAACTCAAAAAATTCTGAAAGGATACAAGTACGTGAGCAATTCTATACGGGAGAAATCTGCTGAAAGAACAACAACCAGCAAAACTTCCTCGGAAGAATCTCGTAAGTTCCGTTTTTATACTTCCGTGAAACCTAATTTTATTCTTAGCGATTTTGCTTTTGTCCTTCCTGGTTACTAATTTGTCATGTTTTTAATTGTGAAGTTAAAAAGTACCGCTCGGTAATTTCTCCGGGAAAGTTGGTTCTAAGCGTATTTTTTTTTTTTTTTCAGAAATTTTAAACATTTTCTCATCTGATACTTTTAATATGATTTTGAAATACGTTAAGCTTCCCAAGAAAAATACCCTTTGGCATATTTAAAATAAACATATTTACGTAAAAAACTAAACAGATTATTTGGGTAAGTTTAATATCTTTTTTTTATGCAGTTCTTTTAAGGCCAGTAGAGAGCGTAGAGAGCAACAGTGGAGAATTACAAGATCCTCTAGAAGATTCAGGAACATTTCTTCCGCCTATTCTTTGATCTGGATAACATAATGTGGGTTTAAACTTCTTTGCAGCATCTTTAACATAATTTAAAGGCAGATGACTGCAAGTATTCCGGCTGTTGCAATAACGTTGTTTAGCTGTTTTTTCTTGTGCGTACAAATAGTGAACAACAATACCCAAGTTAGTAAATAATGGATTAAAACTCCAATAAAAAAAGAATATTAACAACAATATATCCGTAACAAACATATCTTTGTCAAATACTTAGAGGTTAGTGAACTTTTTTTTACTTTTGGAATCAGCAACATAAAATAAACCATTATGGAAAAACTCCAGCTGTCACTGTTAGTTGTGGTAGCAAATGAATAATGTAGGCTCAATATATCTTTCCACTGTTATCACTATCGGGTATTTTAACGTGTACAGTCGACCTGACATTCAACAACGTTTTATTTATGAAGCGTTCTACTTCTAATAACTCTATGATAACATTATAAAACTATCTATTTCAGATGTCAAAATTATGTACATCTATCACTGGTGATAGTCAGACTTTTCAGGAATATGGACAATTAATTAACTCTTAATCATTTAATGTAATAACTGCCAGCAAATAAATCATTAAAATTTATTAATTTAATTTCACTAAAAGAACTGGAATTTTACCCCTGAATGTGTTTCAAATTAGTAAACCAGTCATTTTAGTAGATTAGCACATCTTATTTGCCTTCAAATATGAACAATTTTGTTAAAACACAGCTGTCCCCCATTGATACAGCGGTAGGTTTATCGACTTAAAAACACTAAAATACGGGTTTCGATTCCCTGCAGTGGACACAGCAGAAAGCCCAATGTGGCTTTGCTCTGAAATGAACAGTCTTTTTTTTTAAATTATTTACAATTTATTTACTGTTGTTAAAACTAGGCACTCATGTACATAAAACCTTTACCAGAGGTTTCAAAACCCAACGTTTGAACTGAATCAAATAGTTAGAGATTTGAATATAGAATGGTAATTGGTAAAGTTAAATTTATGTTGCAAATGGAAAACATATTATTGACCAGATCTATGATATAGTTAATCACACCTATTTTGGGCTCGATTCTGTTTTGTTTTTTTCTGATTCAAGTCTTTCTTTGCAAATGTTAAACTCATTCTCCAGTCAAGACAAGATTCATCTTCATTTCTTACATCTAAGGCTTCTACATTATCTGAAACTGTACAAAAGTAGGTATTTGACATGTCACATGAAATAGTTTTTTACGTGTTTATAACTAGAATGTTTTTAAGTTAAAAATAAATATTTGCATCGGCACTATGCAGTTTCTTTTTTCTGAAGATTTGCAGCAAGGGCCTAATGCTTGGGATCGATTGTCACCAAAATAATGTACTGGTGAACCTATTCAAGGTTTCCTTGTGTGTGTACCTGTTTTACTTATGATATGCATTTGTAAAAATATTTACTTATATCAATTAATTATTGTTTGTTTTGCATTTTGCGCTAGCCGTCCCTAACTTAGCAGTGTAAGACTAGAGGGAAGGCAGCTAGTCATC